TAAGTGTTATTTTGAACAACAACCATGTGCGCCCGGCATGTCTGAGCTCGAACAGGCGGTAGATCCAAAGCCGTTCGTTCTCATAAATCCATCCATCAGCAAGGGCAACACAGGTAAGGTGGTAGATTTCATTGTTTTTGCGCGCCTTTCGGCGAGTCGTCGGCATCGCCGAGGCGCTGGAAATAGCTAGCGATTTGGGACAGTGAACCAGGCGTAACACTTGCGATGCCTACAGGAGATGGAATCAATGCAATCGCAACTAGTAGTGGATGTAGTGGACAACAAGCTCAGGAATACAAGAAGTATGGGTTCTTACTGCGAGCACGGAGCTTGGCATCCTTCCGTTCTTGTCACAGACCCATCTTTTGTCATTTTTGGCGTTTTCTGTTGCTGGCTGAGGCGTTGCCCCCTTCACGGTTAAGCTTTCCCGAAGAGGTGGAGGACTCGAACACAGAAAAGGCAGCTGAGCATTCTTAGGAGATTTCGATCTTGTAGGAGGAAGAAGCGCCTGCCGCTGCTCCAGTCGACGATGAGGACGTTTGCATTTGCATGGATCAATAGTAATAGAGGATGTTTCGTTGCGTTGTTCCCCTAAGCTGCACTGCTTTCGCAGGCCACGCTGAAACCCGCTGAGGATGAGCCTCCGGAGGCTTGGGTTTGTTGGACCCTTTGGCAAAGGGTTTGTGTGAGCTGCATCTAGGTGCCCCCACTCCGGCTGGAAGAGATACTGGACAGTGAGTTCTTGTCGCAGCTTCTGCCTCAGAGCATCTCAAAGCCAAGCGCGACTGGCTGACGTTCCATTCGAGCTTCCATCAGGCTGGAACTGAGCCATGCCGCGGCTCTCATGCAAGAACTGTCTGGCATCCAGCGGAAGCGCCTGAAGCCCAGAGTTTCACGCCACCGGCAAGGGAACATACCGTAGCATTGCTGGTATCGTGTGCCAGGGGGGTGGGGTCTTTGTAAGCTCTGGGACGCCGGGGGAAACTGGGGAAACGACCCGGGCAGGTCCTTAGGTAGGGCCCACAAATCAGCTTTTAATCGCAAACTTTAGGCGGGGCTTGGATCTAACCTTCACTCCAATTCAAAACGAGCCGTGTGGCACGGCGGAGATTCACAAGCCGTGACAAGCCTTCAGGTCATGACATCTCGAGGTTCAGGTTCTTCGATCTCCAGCAGGCGCCGGGAACTGTGCTCGTGCCCACTGGTGCGCTCCAGCTGACAGGTGGCGGTGCCTCTGCTGTCTCCAGATGGCGCCACGTTAGGCGGACACCTTCAGTCGATCGCGCCTGCTGTCTGCAGTGAGAGCCGCCGTTCGAAGTCGATCTGCAGGCGTCTACGAAGAAATCGAGGCAGTGGTCTGCAGCCTTCGAGGAGGTGCCACGTGCTGCTGCAGCGCCCAGGAGCCTCCACCGGTGGATGAAGCGGAGACGGCGTGTGTCCCAGTGAAGCAGGGAGCAGTTGAAGATTCAGGTTTCAGGGGAGCTCGATCCACAATTAAGCTAAGAAGTTTTAAGGAGTTTTAGGGCTCTCAAGAAAGGGACCCTTAGTCCTTAGTTGAGGAATAGAGGAGTTTCTGGGGTTGCGAGTTGGCCGAGGGAGCAGAAGAAATAGAGCTGACCGACTGGCAGAAAGAGGAGGCTGCTGAAAAGGAGGCGCGCGGTTTGATGTGACGTCGACCTTTTCTCCATCCGTGTCTCTGCAGGCGCAAACTCGGTCCTTCTCTGTTCTTCAGGATCTCCTGAGAGCCTTGGCTGGCGCCTGAGACGGGGTAGTGGCACTGCCAGCAGAGCTTCTTCACCGTGTGGCTTTGACCAATATCCCAGGCACGTGCAGCTGGCTATGCCGCTGCACGGAACGCAGATCAGCTGCTTCTGGCTTCCTTGGCGACGGCTCTGAATGCATCTCGGCAATGTCGGCAGAACTTCAGGTGCACGGCTGAATCTGGTCTGATGCCTCTGGTGCAGTTGCTGCCGCACCTTTTCGCTGCAGGCACTCCTTCTTGTCGCGCCAGCTCCTGAAGCTTGTGTCCCAATGGGCCCAAAGTCGAATCCGATGGACATCGATCCTGACCACCACGTAGGCCAGGCCGGCCAGGCGGCCAGGCTTTGTAGGTTTGCGGTTACGGTATTTGCCAGGAGCCGAGGAAGCTGCGCCGGAGGATGCCAAGGACAGTGCAGCGAGATGCAGCGAGTAGCTAGACGTTCCGCACTCAACATTCCCCCATGCTTGCACGAGCTTGTCTTGTCGCGAGGAGGCAGAGCAAGCCGAGGCCTCACAGAAAACTCGCCTCACCTACGGTCCCGTTGTAGAGCGGCAGGAGCCGGCGACAGATGTGTGGTTGAGCCTTGCAGTGTCGGTCTCAGAGCTTGGAAGCTACCTGCCTGGAAGAGAGTGCTTCTTGAAGCCAACGAAAGGTCATGGCGGAGCTTGCGGTGAATGCCATGCTGCGACTGAAGGGCAAGTGGGCAAGACGCTCAGCGCTTCGCAGAGTTGCCGAGCAAGGCGTCAAGATTGGGCGTTGAGGCTGCAGCAGATCCGATGAAAGCGGGCCAGGATAGCCTGGTCAGACTCTAAGCGCTTCACGCAACCTCTGCGCAGATTTGCACTGCGCATGAAGTGAAATGCGGACTCGACAGAGCTTCGGGATCTGCGAGGCAATCCAGAAAAAGCTTGACGAGTTGGTTGAGGTTGGCTGTCGATATGCCAAAGCACCAGCCATGCATCACCTGAGTTCACTTGATAGTTCACTTGTTGGTGACTTTGGCACATGTCCTGTTCGAGGAGGACAGGGCTGCCATGGTGGCCAAGATTGCTGTCAAAGAGCTGCAGGTGCTTGAGATATGCGGCTTTGCAGTACTGTCGCTGGTGGGCTGCTCCAAAGCATTCAGGATGTGGACGAAGAGCTACACGATGTGTGGTTTGAGAAAGTGCCAGAGTTGGACATTGCAAGCGTAGTGCCGGCCCTAGTGAACGATGGATGTTCTGGTGCTCGGCAGCCCGCTGCCCGAACAACGGACAAGAGCATGGGCTAAGAAATATTCTCCCGTCTCTGGTGTGTGATGCGGAGTTCCGTGCCAGCACCGGAAGCCAGCTCTGCAAACGAAGACGATTAGGTATCGGAAGCATGCAAGCACCAAGGGGAAAAGGAGAACCGGTAATTGCATTAGAGGGGTAGCTGGTTGGCTGTCTGGCGAGCAGCCTGCCTTCTCTGTGTCTGGACGCAATGCCATCTATCGTCCCTGTGCCTGTTTGTCTGTGTCTTCTGGCTTGTGAAACTGCGTCTTTACCGGACTCTCTGAGTGATCTGACATCAAGGCCAAGCTGGTGGCATTTTCCGTGCTCTGCCTTTATCATATGAGGCGCCGTGACCGCTCCGAGTTCATGAAGTTGTGCAAACTCGTGCACACAAGTGCTTGCTTTCAAAGCCTGCAGAGGAGGTGGAGCAACATCATCGTTCTCTGCTGCCTCCTAAGCATTCCGTCTCGGTGCTTGCGCTGCCTTGTCTCCGGATGCTGGCAGTACTCTACTGGAGTGAGGTCGCGGCTTCAATGATGCCACCTGCTCGGTGTACGCGACAACATTCCTGCCGCTCATGATTGGAGTGCAAGCCTGAGCAGTCTGCTCTCCAATCGAAACATGCCATTTTGAACGATTTAGAGCTTTGGGCTGAAGATGTAAATTCTAAGGCAGACGGGCAGCAAGAGTCGGCATCAAACAAGTCACCTCCTGGTCGAGCTTACAACATCTTACAACCCAGCAACCAAATACAAAATCGGTAGCAAAGGAGGCCTTGCAACAGCTTGTGAAGAAGATGTTAACAAGCAGCTTTCCGATGCCTGTGGCCTGAATATGTTGCAGAGAGCCAAAATTTGACAATTCGCCATTTCAACACGATGTATCGTGGACCCTGATGCAAGAAGGATGTCACTGTAACCGTACCTAGGCATGTGCAGTGACAAGTTCCGCGAAGACACAGCAAGCAACTGGAATCCTGGTCGGGTTTTCGCATCACGATCAAGGTAAGCCTTTTTTTTTGCACATGTGTGTGTGTGTATATGTATACATACACACATACACATACATCCATACCTACATACATACCTGTATACAGACATACGTAAATACATACATACATACATACATACATACATACATACATACATGCACACAAGTGAAAGAGAACAGACACCACTGTAGGCAATATTAGCAACTAAAGCTGAAAATGCAGGCGTTCGCAGACCGAATTTACCACCATTGCCCTCAAACGTACTCGAACCGACTTCTTCTAACACGGTCTAGCACGGGCGGTTTGCAAGATAGCAAGGTCTGAGGCAACAGACATGATTCTGCTGTGCGTGACGATTAATCAGCCGGGCACAGCAAGCACGAGTAACCAACACCACATCGGGCAGTTACAAGCACAGTGGAAGAAAAGACTCTAGGAGTTGGCGAAGGTATAGACTCGTGTATGTGGTATACGGGGCGATGTCGCATGGGGACATGTAATGTACACCCGGCGTCACGGGGAGAATCGAAGGTTCCAACGGCTCATAGACTTTGCTGCTGCTCCTTGTTGCAAAGGCGCAGAAAGAGATCTGCAACTTGTCCAGTCGGGCTCTTGCCGGCTCCTCAACTCACGGCCAGCGTTTGCCGAGTTCTGGAAACTTGACAGACGCTTCCGAGTTTTGAAATCAGGCGAATTCTCAGCGCTATTTAGCGGAGTCGAAGGCAACTTTCGAGGCATGGTCTTGTCTGCTGCGTAAGCCTAATAAGCACCTTGGTCTTGGTCGAGCCCTGGTCAGGTGGAGCAGAAGAAGTTGCTGGCAGCTCAGCCTCGGTAGCGAGGTGTTGCAAAACAGTCTGCTGGGTGGACCATGTTGCGCGTGTGGCCACCGAAGAGCAAGGGTGAGAGAGTCCAGAATCATCCGAGCGTCACAAGTTTTTACGTTCGAGGTTGCTTTGAAAGCACCGGTGGCATATCAGTCGACAACAGAGAAAACATGCCCCACGATTACATCTGCTCAATGCTATGTGAGACTTCTCCTTAGGCCTCGAAAGCTGCTACGCCAGCTGGCGCTTCAGGGCGAACTCAGTGAGCTCCTCAGCTCCGCTTGCGAGCTCTGCTTTCATGACCCCTGCGGCGCGATCTGCGCGTACTTGGGATCTGCTAGCATCGTCCGACATAGGCTTGCATAGGATCAAGGGAGCCTCTCTTCTTCCAAATAGCCAGATTGGGGTTCGCGGAGATCAGAAACGAAGGATCCAGTTTGGAGATTGCCAGTGAAAATGTGCTGTGGATTTTGAAGCTACCCTACTGGCCAGTCCGAGTTATCACCAAGAGGCCTAGATCCAGCCAGTAGAAGGCATACGAAGTTCGGCACGCGGCGAGAGGCGAGCAATACGAGGACCGTCAGAGACTTGAGAGAGTGTCGCGCTTGGTACTTGTCAGGTCAACCCGAGCAGCTCTTCCGAAAGAGGCACCGTGTACGTCGGGCTGCAGTTGTAGTGCTTTCGTGGGCGGGAGCGCTCCGGTTTATGGTGGACGACAAGTCTTCCGTTCTAGGTAACTGGGTATTCTAGGTCTCTGGAATCCATGGCAAAGTCGCGCAGCTCGAATGCCAGCTTGCAAACAATCTTTATTTAGTTTCTTCAAGCCGGAAGGGGTGGGTAGGGGGAAAATTCAATGTCCGGCGAGTTGTAGGACTGTAGGGTTCGTAAAGCACCACAAGACAAACTAAGGTTTTATGCCCGGTGTTGGGCGCTCCCTCTTGCTGCCGTCAAGCATACCCAACATGCGTAAAGATGTAAATGTATTCGCTGGTTTCCAAGCATCTTTATTGAACTTTATTGCGTAAGTTCGAAGAGCACATCGTGATGCTGGCAGTTGCACAGCACAGATTCGACACGAGATGTGTACCACCAGCCATGGCGGCATGCGGCCGATACTTGCCAAAGTCGTGGCTGAACCAAGCATGTCGCATGGCACGCACGGCCTTCGAATGGTTAGACTTTGGGCTTCGCAGGCAACACCTATGAGCTAAGGCAGCCGAAGCTGGAGGGTTGGACCCGCTTCGTCTGCTTCAGCGATGCCTGGTGGAAAGACATCTGTTCCCAACCCGGCTAGGAGGTAGATAGCCAAGGATACGCATGGGAAACATGCCGGCATCCCTCCTCAACACTGCCCAGAAGCAGATGCACCTCGGCTACCAAAACGACATACCATCGTATCAACAGGCACATGCCCAAGTTTTTTGAGGTTCTCCTCCATGCAGGGGACTTCACCATGCAAGGGGAGATTGGCCAGGCTGGCAGCTCCCTGCTCTCCTGACGTCTTCGATGGGACATGCCTGCAGTTTGAGTGCAGGTCGCAAGCTTTTCGGAATGGCTGAAAGCATATCCGGCCCGGGAGAAGATCGTCATAGCTGGGAATCATGACCTCACTTTCGAGCCAGACCCTTGTCCTAACCAGGAGATAGGCTTGGTCGCTTGGCGCTCTGAAGGAGTTCTCCTGAGGATTTCATGCGAAAGCATGGTCGGGATCCTGCTGTTTGTGACAGGGCCAGAGCTGCACTGGAGGGCGGCTTGGACTTCAATGCTCGTCTTCTTTGCGCCAGATACGGCAGTGGGCTAGACCACTGAAGCAACGGCCACAGGCTGCACGTACTTGGAGGATGACGTGGCTGACGTGTTGGGGTGTGCCTGCCCAGCAGGAACGCTTGCCGTAACAGTACCGCAGTATAGATTGACGACACGGGCACGCACGTCTCCAGTTGACCCTACCCCTCTTCTTTCGGGAATGTTTGCGCAGCAGGTACAAGATTTACGGTTCGCCTTGGCAGCCCGAGTTTTGCGACTGGGCCTTCAACTTACCAAGAGGGGAAGCCCTTGCGAAGGCGAGGGAGGGAACCTGATATGAGCATGACATTAGCAGCCATTAGACGAGAGCGCGAAGTGGCATAGGCTGATAGAGGGTTTTTCGAGGAGTCGTCGGTGCAGATGAAACGCGAGAGCTTGAAGACGCTTGTGAAGGTTTGGTCCAGAATTCCCGATGACACAGACATCCTGCTAACCCATGGCCCTGCACAAGGCACGGTCCCACTTCGTTAGATCCGTTCGTTCCGGAGATCCGTTTGCTAGATGGCAAGGCATTTTGGACGGCTGCTTCAACGGAGTGCACGCTGGCTGCACGGACCTGCTGGTGGCGGTCAGGCAGTTTGATTTGCAGCTGCGCTTTTTTTTTGCGACTCCAGCAGCTTTGCAGACGCATTTCTGCAGGAAGCGCCACATCCCCGTTGTGGTGTGTGGCCACATCCATGAGGACTGTGCTTTGTTTGCCACCTGCAGGTGTGCCAGTGCCGTTTGTGCGGGCTGACTCATTTTTGGAGGCTTACGGCTTTGTGGAAGATGGCAGCACTCTTTTCATCAACGCGTCCACCTGCAGTCTTCGCTACAGGCAGGGAGCTCCACGTGGGACATGTCGGCCGAACGGAAGGTAGGTTAGCGTCCTTGAGGCCAGAACACCCCCCCGTCGTCTTTGACATGCCGCCAGTGGCTGACTTGCACCCACCGTCCGTGAGAGAACTGGCAAAGGAATAGCATTGAGGAATCTTGCAGGAGGTTGCAAAGAAGTGCTGCCTGATACGGCTGGCGTCAACCTCTTGCGTGTTCCGCTGTACAGTTCCATCCGCAGTCGCAGGGCAGGGCCCATCAGGGCCCAGCTCCTGCCTGTCCTCTGCATGATGAAAGGGCGCTTCTCTGGAAACCTCCAGTTGGAAAGCCCGGGAGCTGAAGCCGGGATTTGTTGAAAGCCAGGGCGGAGTACTACGATGCGTTCACGAAGCGGCAGAAGAAGCTGCACGGATCATGGTCGCCAGTGCCTCGGTGGTTGTTAGTTGAAGGACATGGAGACTCGGGCAAGTCATGGGAAGGTCCCTGCTCAAAGCTCTCGAGGCGACGCTGCCGTGATGTTCAGTGCAGAGACAGTGGTCTGCTCCCCCGCGAGGACTCGCATAACCTGGCATCCCGTGCTGTGCCTGCAGCCATGGAGCAGCACCGGCCTGAGAAGACCTGCGAGGCGATGCACATGCGTCAGGTTCAATCTTTCGGTGCCCTTCTGAATGCATAGCCCCACCACCCCCCCACCGCGATCCGGCAAACTCACGTGCACTCATTCCTTCTCGTGCTGCGTTGGATGCTTCAGACATGCTGAGGCTTCGGAGGAGTCGCTTGCTCCTCGCAGACTTCTTGCAGGATCGGGAGGCGCCAGGCCCCTACAGAGGGAGAGATCAGATGAGTGATGACCAGGTCCAAGGAAGGCGGTTTGAAAGGGTCAGAATCGAGTCGCTCCACAAGTCAAGGTTCAGTCTGGCTGTTCAGCGAGGGCAGCTAGTTGACGGCGAAAAGGAGATGAAAGAGAGGCCGCTCAGGCCACCCATCCATCTTGGGTAGTTTTGGTTCTGGTGTTTGTGCCCGATTTTGGACCGCGCCCACACGATCTCTCAAGAGGCTCGCAGCTTCGGCATTGGTGTCCTCCTACCGCAAGGCTAGTGATGGGACCGCAGGGCGAAGAGCTTAGGCAAAGTGAAAAGGTTGCTCGCAGGCAGTGGAGCTGCTCCGCAAGCGGCAGATGAACGACCAGGTGGTTCAGGCTGTCCTCCGTTGCTTCGGCGTTTCGTGGCTCGGGTCTGTCTGATGGCGGTCAGGCGCTTCATGAACTGGGGAACTTGCTCTGGCCTGAAGCTTACAATGCAGCCTGCCTTTGACGTTCCTCGTCTCCAGCTCCTCCCAATGCCCCAAGCGCTTGGAATCCAGCGCAACCCCTAAATCCGGTTTGAACGGATTTCAAGCTGACTGCTTTTCCCAGCCATGTTGCTCACAGGCTCGAGGGCGACTCAAGCGGCGCAGGGCCCTCAGCGGCTCTGCCTTTGGGACACCCTTGTTCACAATGGAGGAGTACCTGGGAGGGGGTGCAAGAAGCCTTCTTCTCGAGTTCCGTGCAGATCCACCTCGCCCCGAGGCCCGGGATGCTTGGAGCGACGCAGTGGACACGGACCTCGCCTCAAACCGTAGCAGCAGGCGTTTGCAATTCCTCTACGCCTTTTGACTGATTCCAGTGTTGTGCAACCCAGGTCTTCCAGTTCCCCTTCGCCATCAGAAACTGGAGCAAGTGCATCGAAGCCAGTCTCAATCCGCCTCAGGACGCTTGCCACTTGCTTCGTACGGGTAGGATGTACATGGCGTGTTGGAGGATTGTGCTCGGGTGGAGATCCTCCTCCTCACGGCTCGAATCCCTGAGATTGTGTTCAAGAAGCGAAAATCGACAAAGAACATCGAGTCAGAGTCTTCTCCTCCGAGGTCGTCATTCTCTCGAAGCATGCCCGGCTTACAAAGCCCAAGGACGTTGGTGCAACTACCGCAGCACACTGTCACGCCTGACCTCGTGCTGGGTTGTACAGATATGAGGACATGTGTAACCCAGTTGACGTTGTAGTATAAAGTCAGAGAAGCCACATGTAGCAAAATCAGAGAGGCGGAGGTGGAAGAGGAGAAGGAGTAGGAGGAGGAGCAGCGGCAGCAGCAGTAGCAGCAGCAGCACTCCTCGTAGCGACAAGGCGTCCTCGGTGGCTCGTGACTTCAGTTGCGTGAAGACTCTGAGTAGGATGTGACAGCTCACCTCAATGCCGCGCTCTTCGCCTCCAACATCATCGAGGCCGCGAGCTCACAGACAAGCGGTTCCTGGATACTCATGGTGGGGCTGGTGAAAACACGCTGTTAGCAGCAGTTCTTGTTTCATTTTTCATAAGTGCCATGCATCGGCACTTGCCGGTTGAAACTTGGGCCTGGGGGGCCTTTATCAATTGTGCCGTGGCTCTGGCCTTCCAGCCCCGATGTCCCATTCGTCACAACGCAACGGTTGCAGGCCATCCTTACAACGGCATTGCCAAATCCACCGCGGCGAGATCAGTATGCACTTGGCAGGTCCTGAAAGGGGAGCCAGTCTAGTTCCTGTACGTCACCGTTAGAAGCGCCCTTTCGAGATCTGCAGGCATCGCTTGCGCGAGATTTTCTTTGGTCTCCGTGAGACCAGGAGATGAAATTCAATATGGTACAGAGGGGCGACAGTGCCCGTGATGTTGTTGCAGGATGATACTTCCGCCGAGCAGTGTCCATGGTGGTCGCGCGCTGAGAACTGCAGAAAGAGCTGGCGCGCCAAGCATGTCACAACCCTGCTGGACCTGCCAGAGCATGATGACAATTTTACATGATGCGTGAGTTGCATGAGGTGTCGATGGCGCAAACTTCCTTGGTGCGCTGGACTTCTTCCAAAACACACTTCTGGCCGTTAGCTCGGCAGCTGCGAGACTTGTGAGGGTGCTTACGGCAAAAATCATCACCAGGTGACGGACTACCAACCTGCACGCTGCCTGCCTATTTGCACGCTGTACAACTACCTCGCCACTGACGTGTTCAGGATAACTTTTGTGTGATTGCTGCTTAGTATTTGCAGTATTGGGGGATGTCGTCGAGTTTGACTACAAGATGTTGTCACAATCAGACGCATAGATACCAGCTGACCCTTGAGTTTGAAGGAACATGGCACTTGCAATGAAGGGACGGCAGGAGCCTCAGAAAGCTGCTATGTCGCGGAGCTGACGAATCCTCCGTGACGAGGCTGATGGCGGCTCAAGCGCTGATCCGCTGCTGTTCTCTGACAGAGGTTTGCAGTCCACGTCTCTCGCGTTCGTGTCCCCGGTGCGGATGGCACTCAGGCATGGCTGGCTCTACATGCCGTGTCACGTGGCTATGACAAGCCGCCTCGGCAAAATGGGCATTGCAGAGCCTCTGAGCAGCGAGATCTCAGCGCCGCCAGGCCACGGGGTCTCATTGCCAGCGAGGCGGGGGCCGGGAAAAAAAGGGCCGACAGAATGCTCGTAAGTGGGTTTTGGGGCTGCAGTCCTCCCTCGGACCTGGTGAGGCCTTGGACATTGCGGTTGCCGAAGCTCAGGAGATAACGGCCGCGCAGCTCGGAGCCCGGTCGGTCCTCGAGACCTCAAGCGTCTTCAAGCGCCCTCAAGCGCCCTGAACCCTGCCCTGCCTTTCGCGCGTGTGACTGAAAAGGCCATTCCGGTGCTTCGAGGAGCCTTCCTCTGCTTCCAACGTCCAGGTCAGCCTGAGGAGGGGCGGCACTGCTGGGCCGTAGTGCTTGTTTTGTTGTTGGAGGCTATCAATCAGCTGATGGAGCTGACTCTGACGCCGGTGGGAGCCGGAGCAGCGGATCCCGAGGCAGGGATCCAGGAGACTGCGGCACGGGACTCCAGATCTCAGAAATCCTTTACTAAAGTCACAGGCTACGACGCCATCCGGAACCGCGGCGTACAATCTCCGCCTCTTCAAGCATCTCAAGGCCCCGGGACTCTAATACGTAAACTTCGATGAATCTCGGTTGGGCAAACGAGAGGCAGAGTTTCTCGTCACTGTCGTGACCTCGGAATGGTCAGACTCGACCGGTAAGATCAAGCCGCCTTTGTGCCAGGTGTGCTCTTACCAGCGAGTCTTCCCCAAACTCAATGAACCGCAGGAGAAGGACAGCCCATGCAGCGCCACTCCAAGTATGCAGTGTCAACATGTCCTCACTGCAGACACGTTTGGAGGACCGCACGGCCCTGCTTGACAAAGCAGATGCACTGCTGGTGGAGATCTGGAAGGCGTTCATGTGCCCGTGAAATAGCCGCCTACAGCCTGCTGGCCATGACAGGAAATCACAGGAAACGACGACGACAGAGAAGCTGTGGCCTCATGGCTTCGGCAAGAGCTGGCGGTTTCATGCTGTGTCGAAACGATAAGGCCTGGTCAACCGCAAGCCGCGCCTCCCGCGAGTCTGGCGGGGAGGAGTGCAACTCAGAACAGTTTCGCTGGCAAGTGTTGTGAGGGCTGAGGGTGCTAGGAGCCGACCTTCTTGGAGCCCGTGAGGCCTTCTTGGCTACTGTGTGCTGTGTGGGATGGCCAGTAGTGAGTATTCGACAGGCCGCTTTCGGAAGAAGAAGGGGAACTCTGCGCGGAAGTACGCCTCATGCGAGCAAAGGCCGGATGTGCTGAACTTGTGACAATCCGAAGTCGGCTACACTGCCAGGTGCAAGAAGGCAAGGGTGACCTTGGCAAGGCGATCCAGGAGGCCATGCCAAGTATACAAGCTTAACGGAAAACCTGCTGTGAAGCACCAGCAGAGGTGTTATATGGAATGGAGTTTCTTCGGCGACTCGCCGCATCCGGAACAAAATCTAGCCAGGACACGGCGCTTTCCAAGCCACAACCCGGTCGCCCTTAGCGGGCCGCGTCCTTCTGCGCATTTTATCGCTTGTGAGGACTGCAACCTCGGAGCCGCAAGCTCCAGCAGGCTGAGGGCCCATCCCGGCTCCAAGTGCTGGATGCGCCTTCGCGCGGGCCCTGGGCCCTAGAGACATGATCCAAAGTTTCTCTGTAGAAGCTCTTTCACGAGCCTTGGCGAAGGATCCTACATGGCAAACCTGTTGGTGAGTGCGCTCCTTAAACGCCTTGATTGAAGGGCGTTAAGAGCACCTTAGAGAGTCCCGAGTAGGAAGGGGCCTCCGATGGTTTTGGAGCAGGTCAGGGCCGACTCAAGGCGGCCGCAGCCCACATTCAGCAGGCAGCGAGAGCTCCATGCCTCGGGCATTGGATACTGGTAGTAGTTTAGTATATAGTTTAGTGTCGCATAGTGTAATATACAGCATAGTGTAGTATAGTGTAGTATGGCAACGTGTAGTTTAGCATAGTTTAGGATTGGGGTGGGAACCACCCCGCGCTGACAGGGCCTGGAGGAGAGCCGAGTCACCCAGCACGACGTGGCACGCGTGGAGCTGCTCATGACGAAAGTGAAGATGGAGGCCAGGCTGGGGGTTGGGATGCTCTGAATATGAGGAAGAAATGGTACGACATAATATATACTATGGCGCGACAGCACTCACATTCTGGGAGTTTCGGTGTCGCCAGGTCCTATCCGGCAGGCTACTGGAGCTTCAGGGCGAGCGCCATTTGGGAGCCATCCCGGCGGCAGAATGCTGCTTAGCAGTAGCCGCAAGGCCTGTGTTTGGAATGGCCGGGCAGCAGACAAAGCCAGATAACAACACAACAAATGCCAGGAACCTGCCTGTGCCAACTCCGAGCGCCGTGTATGCACGCATGATGCTTTTCAACATGCCCCCGGCCAAGAGGTTACATTGAGCATTGCAGCAGACTCGTAGCAATGATAGCTACTGACAAGGCTGCAGCAGAATCCAAGCTTGGTGCCGCTGAAGCGCACGGAGGACACCGCTGAAGCTCGGAGCCCAGCATGAGGAGCCTCCGACCCACGCGGCGCCGTATCAAAGCGTGGGACGTTTCAGGCAATGGAAGCAACCGGCGGAGCCGAAGAGGAGGTGTCGCTTGGAGGGTGAGGGACAACGAGACAGCATCCGTGTGTTAATTTGTTGCGTGCTGCGCCTGCCTTTGATGCGGAACGGCTCGCTTCAGAATTTTCTAAGGAGTTGGATCCGAGCGAGATGCTGCTTCTGGAAGCTGCAGGGCCCGGGCCTCGCATGAGCTGCCACTGCAATGTGAGAGGATGTGGTAGGGCCTGGGCTTGGTGTCGCAGGTCGATCATCATCTCGCCCATCGCCAAGCAGTTGCAGAAATCGGGGAGCAAGAAGGCGCGAAAAGGGGCCCCCATCCCACGAAAAAACCTCGACCATTTGCCAATGCACAGGGCGAAAGGAAGATGACGTTTCATGAGATGCGGACTATGCTGGCAGAGCCTGCCTCAGCAGTCGACGAAGGAGCTGAGCTTGCGGGTTGAGTCCGGGTTTTGTGTGTTGAGTTGGCAGCGGAGTTCGTGCTAAGGATATGGTTGCGGAATGCCTCAGCGATGTGGAGAAGCTTCTGGAGGTACAGGGGTGCGATGCTCGGCCTTGAGCTGTGCCCTTGTCAGCCCGCGACTTGCGTTGCCCTAAGGGTGCAGCGAGCACACCTGCACCCACGCAACGTGAACAGCTTCTGCGACTTTGGCCCGGACAATTGCGGCGAGGAGGTGCTCAGAAACTGACACCGACAACGCATGGTCATGTGCCTAGCGGCCTAGCGAGGCATTTAAGCCACCACCGGATCCGCCGTTGCTCCCAGAGATCAAACCACGCGCCTCTCCCGGAGAGAGAGCTTCAGAGAAACAAGCTGTGTGCGAAAGAAGAGCTTCCTGCCTAGGCTTCCGCGAGCTGTCTCACAACGACTCGCGAGAGCCGCGGGGGGCCCATGGGTTCTTTGGGTTTCTTCTGAAGGTTGTCTTCTTTGCACCAACTGCACATGCCATGGTCGAGGCCCAATATCTACTTGCAGCTGATGCCACTCCGGTCTCGTGGCTGCAGTGCAAACTTCCAGATCGAACATGCATGCCCAGCTGGACTAGAGAAAGAGCGAAAGACGTCTAACGCCCTTGTAATCTAGACAGCCTTTCTGCCGTACCGCTGCCCGGTATGTTCCTTTCCAGGCTGCATTGCCAGCTGGTTTTGGCCTCCCTTCGCTTGGAGTTGGGCGAGATGCAGGAGGCGCTTTTTCAGAGTGTATTCCGGGTTCGGATCGTTTCTGAGCCTTCAGGGCATGTCAGCGCGAATGTCGTGATGTCTTCTTATCGAACCGGTCGAGAGTCAACCGTTGCACTCTGCCTTCTCAAGTGCCGTCTCTGTTGGAGGAGGTTTCTTTCCGGGGTTGGTTCTCCCATCGCACCACATGCTGCAGGCCTTCCAGTTGTTGCAGGATGCAGAACTCTGTATGACAAGGCCGGGAAGTGGGCCTCCGCTAGTGCAAAGCTGCAGCCAAGCAGTCTTAAAACGAAATCTAAGCTCTTCTCAGTCCGTTTTTGGATCTGCACCCTTCATGCACTCGGCTCCAGCGCACACGCGCCAGATTACTCTACTCGCTGTCGGTGTAGATTCCGTTATGGCCGTTCTCTGGACGCACGTCGCCAGTGTGGCAAGTTGGGTCTGCCAGCCAACGAGTTCCGACGATGTCACAAACGATCAGGTTTTGCAGCTGCAGTCTGCACTGGACGAGACCCGCCGCCTGCTCAACCATGAGCAAAGGGTCTCGCAGGAATTGAAGGCCCAGGTCAGGGACGAGCGGAGGAGGGGAGTGATGCTTCAGCGGGAGATGCAGGACAAGCTCGAGTTCCAACAGGACGAGATCAAGAGACTCCTGGCAGAACTCGAGACGGCCAAAGCGGCGCTGCACAAGAAGAAGAACGAGTTCCACCAGGCTGTGGAGGAGACTTCTAAGAATTCGACTAAGATGCACATGCATGTATCCAAGCAACGCGAGTGCGAGACAGAGCTGCTGGCAGCTCTGCTCGAGCATGCCACGAAGCAAGCGGCTGCCAGCGCCGTCGTGGTGACGGAGGAATCGATCGCCCCGCAGCAGCTCCGCTTGGATCTGGAGGTGGCCCAAGGCAAAGCTTCCGAGGAGCAGGACGCTGCGCAAGAGTTGCGACAGCAGTTGCAGCAAGAAAAGGCTGCAAGGCTCGAAGTGGAGCAATTGCTTGACTTGCAAAGAGAGTCTTTTATGAGGGAGTTTCACCAAAGGAAGGCCTGCGAAGCCGAAGTTGCAGATTTTCTGCGGCTGCTGGGGCAAAGATACCCCGAACTTGCATGCAGCGGGATGACCGGTTGAATTCGCTGCAGGCCTCTCCAAGTTCATGTTGGAACATGCAAGCAAGAACTTTCTTGTTCTCAGCATTGGTAGGCGCGTTATCAGTCGGAAGGCCAGCACCGAGCTGCAGCGTTTGAACCAATTGCAGCAGGCATCTAGTGTGAAAGAGTCTCGCTACCGAAACGCTTTGCAAGCCGAAGTTGGACGAATGTCTGCAATGGTCAGCACAAACACATCTTTGCATTGCACGGGATCTTGCATCAACATGTGTAAGTCCACCTACAAGTTTTTTTGCGCTGACGTTCGTCGAAAGCCTCTCTAAGGGAGCCTGAGCAGCATCCGTTGATGCCCTACTTTGAGAGTTTCATTGTGCGTTCGGAAAACCGTTCTCAAGTTCCAGCTGCTCACGATAGTCCATCCTCGAATCGAAGTCCACTCGGAAGGAGTAAGGTCAGACGGTGCCCCCTTCCGGGTCGCCGGAATGCGCAGCTGGAAGCTGGAGGGCCTGCAAGCCCTCGTAGCGTGCCAGGTGCGTCTATCTGGTGCCGTGGAACTATGTGCAGTTCTGCAAGCTGAAGCTGAGGCATGTCATTAGGCCCTCAGCCGAGAAATGCCGAGAAGTGCAGGGCATGGCAGACAGGTGGAGGAAGCTGACGTATCGCCTGGGTTTGGCGACAACGTCCTGTCCACTGGATGCTCCAAACGCAGTTCTGCCCGGGCCCGACTTTCTCACGCTCTCGAATTTCCACACCCGATATTTTACCCGAGACCCAGGTATCGCGACCCAAAGACGATTGCGACCGGCATTTGTCCAGCAACGGACTCCCCTCTTTACCGGACGTCAGCAGCTGAGCCCTATGACAGGCAGCCAGCGTCACAGAAGTCTTGTAGGTCATTGCGGCGATTGCAGTCAGAGGGGTGAGATCCAGGTTCATGGAGAGGGTCAAAGCGCCTCAGACTGTGGTTCTCTCAGAGTGGGCCACGGGCTCGGCTCTCTTTCCAAGCCGAAAAGCAAGACCTCCGGTGCTAGCAAGGTGCCTCCCTACGAGCGGCAGCCAGAGGAGGGCCTTCAAATGTACATGCAGGTGCGCGGCTCGAGTGCCCTCGAAGGAAGCCAGGAAGAAGCCCTTTGTATGACACAGGAGTTCATGGGCGTGGCAAAGTTGGTGCTGAAGGAAGGCGTGTGGCCGGAGCTTTGGCTAGCGAGGGAAGTCTGAGCTTGAAGCACAGCGAGGTGGCAACGATCTTCAACAGCTCTTGGAGCTTTTGGATGAGGGCCTGGAGGAGGTCTTGCGAGTAGAGGCCTGTCAGAGCCAGAAGGAGGACCGCAGGAACGCCTGTGATTGCTGTTACTTCAACACTGCCCCCAGGCGCAGCTACTACGGGAGCCCGTGCCAGACTTATTGGCATTGGCAGCTTCTGTTGTGCCACCGTGGTCTCACAAAGAGTGCTTTGGCGGCCGTCATTCCTTGGGTTCTTTGAGGAGCGGACGCCGGACTACCGGCGCATTTACCCCTTCTTTTCATGCTCCTGCCTCGATGGCGGACTGTCGGGAGAAAGCCAGGAAGGAGAAGGAGAGACAGAGAGTGAGAGGAGCTTCTCAAGAACCGAGTAAGAATCGACACCGAGGCTTCTCTTCCATTGCAAGAAGTCGCAAGGCAGGGCGGGATGGAGCCTAAACCGAAAAGGACGAAGAAGGTCTGCTCTGTCAAGCGACCAGGCTTTGCTTTTCCCAGGCAAGGACGCTCCGAAGGCGAGGCTGAGCATAGGCACAGAGGCCTTGCCTCGACTTGCCGTGTTTGTCCCAGGGAGCCGCCGGACCTCCGCCCGTGGATCTGGAGAAGCTGCCCTTGAGAGCCCGAGTCTCACAGAGTCTCAAAGTTTCTGAGCACGGCCCTGGCCCACGGCCCACGGCCCTTCTGTCAGATCGGGCTGGACCTACAGCGACATCTGCAGCGCCAGGTGCATCTTGCTTTTGGTTTCCAACGGGAACTCTTGGCATGCGTGAGCTTGCTGCCTAGCCCTGTCGCTCATTGCAATCTGACGAAGTGGGGCATACTGAGCACTATCATGCAGATTTTACAGTTGCTTCTGAAAACGAAGGGTGTCATGCAAATGCTATGTAGCAGGCAGCAGAGGGCGCAGTGGCATACGGCCCGGGGCCAAGTCGAATAGGGCTTGTGAGACCACAACCAGAATGCAGATCTTCGGGATCGGCAGTGCATGCGCGGTGTTCGCCAGCGCTCGCATGCTGAGGCAGTGCCGCTTTGGAAGCTGCCAAGAAACAGAAGCAGAGCTGCAAAAGCGTTGCGACTTTTGTTCACATGAATCTGAAAGCTTCTTCAAACTTAGGATTCTGTACAGATCCTTGATCAGGTGGGCTCGTACCTATGCCGCTCTTGATTATAGTCCGGCATCCGCCGGCTGCGTGTCATCAGGCACACCATGGCCTTGCGCCGCGAGTGCGACCTGTTCGGGGGCTTGTTCATGGACATGAGACTCCTCACCGTCCGGCCCCCAATCGCCAGCACTCTGACCGCTTCATTCTCGGCCGGTGTGTGTGTACATCTTCTGAGGACCAGCTGCATATAGCACTTTCGCAGTGCTGTGAGGTGCTTCGGTGTAGTTTCCCGGAGTTCGCGTCCAATGTCCAGCGAGATGTGGTCACGGGACTGCAAGCTGACTTGCCAGGCGTATTTCAAAGCACGGGTGTTAGACGAGAGCACCTTGCAGCTGCTGGAGTCTCCATCAGAGGCGCATTTTGTTTGAACATTCGGACTTCTGTGCACTGCCCTGATTGATGGATGCTTTTGGTTGCTTGAGGTCCCTGTTGGTGGCACAATTTTTGTGCGCTGGTCGCAGCCAGAGCTCCAGGCGACGGCTGCTGTCAGCGCCTCGGATTCGACTTTGGTCGGGCTGAGCCCAGCTCGTCGCACGTTGCATGAAGGCTGGCGAGCCATCGCAGTCAGGGCCGCCCCCCTCTGAGCCGCCTGCCCAGCTGTCTTGCCCTGCTCTCGTGTTGGCTCTCAATAGATTATCTCATCCGGAGGTGTTTGTCTCTGCTTGCCTTTGCTTGCGCCTTCGCGGAGCCCTTGGCATCACCACTTCACATCATATCTTGGCATTCGGCGAAAGCTTTTGCTTGCCTCCTGTTCAAGGACGCAGAAGGAAGTGAACCTGCCAACAGTCAACCACTAGTGGCACGTGCTTGCCCCAAGTGTGTCTGCACGACATTTTGATGATAATTGTCCAGCTTCAGCAGGTTCGAAGACCGTGCATTTGGCGACGGTGCAGCAGCTGTGTGACCGGCTTGCGCAAGACCTGGAGCACTGCAGGCGATGTGATGCGGCAGACTTGAACAAAGCCGCTTCAGTTCCCGCCCGCGTCCGGTGCGAGTCAGGCCAGCGGTGGCTGTCGCCTCGAAGTACCTGGAGCACCAGCTCCGCGAGGCGCCACGTCACGCCGATCGCTCGCAGAGACCTCCATGGCTCTTACCGATCAGCTGATCAGCATTGCGGCTTGAGCTGAATAGGTTAAATAATCTTTCGCAGGTCTGAAACCAAAAGATTTCCCTGATCTGCAAGACTAGCCGCCCTAAGGCCCTTTGTAAGAGCGGCAGCAGCCACTGAAGCAACGGAGAGTAGCCAGTCTTGGCGAGCTGCCACAAGCCGCCATGGACAACGCGTTGGCCTTCGCCCTCACTACTCCGCGCTGTGCCGCTTCTCCAAGCGGTCCTAGCAACCTGAAATGCCGCACGAGGCTGAATCGGGCTGTCGCTTGGCAGTTTAGGACCGGACAAAAAGATGACAGAGCTGTCACAAGAAATGCTTGGGATAAAGTGTGGGTCGGCTCGGCGGACTCCAAGGAGCGACGCAGCTGTCCTGCGGCCATGCTAGCAACACTCCTCTGCGGTGTGCGGAGTTGCAGCGGGCGAGCAAAGCGACGTGCGAGCGCCAGCCCAGAATCAGAAGGACTGCCTGCACTGGAGAGGAGACGATGCACTCTACCCTGCACATGACACGTCTCGGTGAGAGGATCGAGTTCGTCCAAGGTGGACTCCGCTGTGAGGGTTGTCGCGATGAGCGATACGCATGGCTTCCACCGTCGACTAAAAGTTCCTCCGGGCGACTCTCAGAACGACAGGGTATACAGCAGAGTGTGAAGTTTGAGATAAACATTATCGTGCCACCTTCAATGCATGCCTCCCTTGATGACAACAGACGAGGACATTCTCATACACTGCGGAGATGCGCAGTGTGATGGCATTTCATGGAAGCCGAGCTTTCGAGGTTGCCTTGGCTCGAAACTCGTGTTCTGATATGCTTCGATTGCTTGTTCCTGCTGTCCTGATACTGTACACATATGTGCCCTCTCCCGCAGTAGACCTCGAGCGTCGTTGTTAGCCGAGATTTCGTCGACTGGTTTCTGGCACTGCCTTTTCGGCACAAGATCTTCGTTAAGGGGAATCACGAGCGGGGCCGAGCGTGGAGAGCTCGGTTTCATGCTGGGACTCGGCACGCCGGAAGAAGCCTCAAATCAGACGGAGGTGGCGTGACGCTCTCGGTGGCTGCTACCTCCGTGGCTCCCGCACATGTGGCGGTTTGAAGGTCTACGGAGTGCCCTATGATTCAGACGGTGCCTTGGCGAACCTGTGTTGCCAATTGTGCCGGAGCTGCGGTGCGCAGTTTGATCAGGTTGGTATCAGGACGCGATGTCGATGCAGATTCCTGACGGAGTTGATCTTCTGATCTCGCCGCTTCTGCGAGTTTCTCTTGGGTTTCCAGGAAGGGTGTGAGAAAGCAGTGCAGAGGAGAGCAATGATGAGCGCAAGATGCCAGGCATGAGCCGCCGCATGGGATGCTGGACTACGCGTCTGCATCCAGCACCAGGGTTACCAACATAGGATCGCAGAGGCCGCTTGCTTCAACGGAAGCTCCGATGCCTTGAGCTTCTGTTTGCGTCGTCTCAGGTTGAAGCGAGCCCTGGGCAGACTGGCTCAGAGGCGGAAGAGTGTTGGAAGGCACGATGTCACGATGCATCCGAGCTGTGTCCATTCTATTCCACGAGCCAAAGTTTGGGACAGTGAAGGAGAACACTTCCTCGCGTCCATCTCTTCGGTCATGTGCACGAAGGGCACGGACATAAACACAGGCAAAGAGACGGTTCTGTCGTACTGCCATACCTGTAGCTGGCCTCTGCAGGAATGGAACACTCTTTGTAAATGCTGCCAACGCGAAGCTTTGCAGCAACAGAGTTCTATGCATGTGTTGAGTTTGGCAGGCTAGGGCGCACATGAATCATCCTGAGCTTGTAATGGGCTGCCATTTTGGTTCAAGTGTGATCCAAAACGGCAGTCCGTCTGTCTTTTGGAGGCGGGGG